TCAGAAAGTCTGGATGAAGCAGGCTGCCCTGGAAGCTCGCTTAGCGCCTCCACTTCGGCTGGGGGTAGCTATGGCTACTATCGTGCTCCTCAGCTGTGGCCCGGACACAAGACATGAACCATTTATACGCTTATTGACTCGAAAGAACTAGAAAGGGAGATGGGATCCGCCGATAGCTCCCTGTAATTTGTGTCGTCGGATGAGTAGGCTCGGTCCAGGGTGTTCTGGACGTAGCTGTGGGAATTTCCTTGAACAACGACTGGTGCCAAAGAACTTGGTATACTTGCTCCATATTGGTCGATGAACCTCAGGTTCGGCATTGACAACGTTTTCTATATTCCATAGCTTGATTTATTCATAAATGCGAGAGCATGCCTATGCGCTGGTAATGGAGAGGTCGAATCATAAGATTTATTTCAAGATCTTGTCACGTCGAAGAAACGAAGTTGATCCAACGCACTCTGGATTGCTTCCACTGCCCCCTTGGTGAAACCCCAATTGTGAGGCAACTACAGTAGATGCGAAGGGAGAGGGGCTCTCAGACGCAACCTGAGTTGGCTCGATTGAGAATTGCGTCGCTGCCCGTTGCGGAGTCACGGCACACTCTCCCGACGCCATTTATGTCAGCGCGACAAACGGGTAAACAGAAAAACACTTCCCAAAATCACTGAATGTTTATGCGACATTTGTTCCTAGCGCAATGCATTTTGCGCAGGATGCTCTTGTCAATGATTCCCATGTCAACTCCATATCTATCTGAGCCAACCGGACAACCATGAAGCAAAACAAACATGAGATGAGATCGCTTGCCCTGCAAACTTCGAAAGGAAAACAACTTCTGAACTTGGCACGTGGCAGTGCGCTCTCCCTGGGCTGCCCAGCGTAAAGATGAGCCAGGCTGACACGTCACTGCCTCAAAAACAAGGAGACATGACTTCCCTGACTGAGTCCGTACGGTCGGCTGGTGTGGTGTAATCGTTTATAAATAGTTGTTTTTCCCGCATTGGTTCAATGAGAGTTAATTGGCTCCCTGATCCAATCATGGAAGTGGAGTTCACCGCCTGTTTGTAGAGGAAGATGGTCAACTAAGATCATTCGAGGGGCCATGCCATCCACTTCCATTTGTTTTGGGGGAGTGTATGTGTTCAATCAACAAAATATTGATCGATAAAGTTTTGGGTTTCAAACAAGGGTACGGGGTCGGTACGTATCTTTGTACGTGACAAGTTACGGCCCTATTTGTCCAAGCTCGTCCGACGAGGACCGGTGCATTGCCACACACTCGGTGCGTCATCATGAGATCCAACTTTGGACAGTTTGGGGTCCATGTGGACCAGTGCGCGATTTCATCCAAATATTATAAGTTCATTGCGGTGGATTTCACACATACGGGCTTCCATCAACAGGTGTGGAATGGTGTGCTTGCACACCTTTCCAGGTGGGCGTGCAACCCGCGGGGTGCATGGTGCGATCCTTCCGCCCGCTCCTTTGAGTGGATGAAGATGATGAACTTTCTGAAACCATGTGGGATCCACTGCCGCCCTCTGAGAACCAGAGGTTGAAGAACCCATTCGTTGGACAATCGCAGTTTGGGTACCGCAGGTTATGGGAATCATATAGGACCTGGGGAACCATATAGGACCCAAACTTGCAATACCTACAGTAATATTCTATAGTTAAATCTGTTCGCTGATGGCCACTACGCCAGTATGCCCTCACATCCCATGTCCCATAGTCCCTCTCTTCAGCCCAAGCATCCCAAAGCAGCAGTGCCAGATGCCAGCATGGCCACATCTAGTAGCATTCCCACGTAGCCGCGCTCCGCCCACGCGATCCCTATGGAATTAGACCATTTTGGATGGGATCGAAATGAACAACCCTCTGGGTCTTGTTCCACCGTCGTATGTGTAAGTATGTATCATAGCGGATAAGCATTTCTTTTCCAATCTATCTCTTTGTATGCCTTTCAGATGCAGATTCTGAAGTTTCACCTATTCTGTATGATGATGATATACACGTATATGTTCATCTAATCTGAATCTGACAAAAAGCGCCGTCCCACGCAGCCGACGTGCAGCTGAAGCTTCCCTTGAGGATCCAAGAGATCCTGTGCCCTGGAGCCCAGTGGCCCTTGAGAGTTTCTCACATAGCAGGCGAAACGAAAAAAACATCTCGGAGAGCCCACCGACCGGAGTGGAAGATCGGATCACTACAGCAACTGCAAATACTTCCTTAATCTTCCTTACATAATGTGGACCGATCAGTTCTTGTTGTTGTTGCTGCTGTTGTTAATGTTGTTCTTGCGTTTGTTCTTGTTCTTGTTGTTGATGTTGCATTTGTTCTTGTTCTTGTTGTTGATCTTGTGCTTGTGCTTGCTATTGTTCTTGTTGGTGTTGTTCTTGTTCTTGTTCTTGTTGTTGACCTTGTGCTTGTTATTTTTGTTGTGATTGCTCTTGTTGTTGGTCTTGTGCTTGTTGTTCCCCAATAGCCATGCTATGGGGTCTTGCAAAACTAATAGGCGGACGGGCGCCGCCGGGTCACCGTCAGAGCTGGTGGGCGGATGGTGTCCCGGTCATGTTTTGATGGCGTGCGGGTCATGTGATGCTGGTGCCCCGGTCATGTTTTGATGGTGTCCCGATCATGTTTTGATTGTGACCCAGTCATGTTGTGATGGTTTCCCGGTCCTGTTTTGATGGTGTCCCGGTCATGTTTTGATGGTGTCCCGGTCATGTTGTGATGGTGTCCCGGTCATGTTTTGATGGTGTCCCGGTCATGTGATGGTGTCCCGGTCATGTTGTGATGGTGTCCCGGTCATGTTTTGATGGTGTCCCGGTCGTGTTGTGGTGGTGTCCCGGTCATGTTTTGATGGTGTCCCGATCATGTGATGGTGGCGCGGTCATGTTGTGATGGTGTCCCGATCATGTTTTGATTGTGTCCCAGTCATGTTGTGACGGTGTCTCGGTCATGTTTTGATGGTGCCCTGATCATTTTGTGATGGTGTCCCGGTTATGTGATGATGGTGTCCAAGGAAGAGATGGTCGATGTGTTGAAAACAGCAGCTGTTTCCAGATTTTTCTTTTTGTCCCGGTTTGTATCTTGCTATTGGGGTCTCCAGCTGGGCTAATTGTTGTTGTTGTTGTTCCTGTTGTTGTTCTTGATCTTGTGCTTGTTATTGTTCTTTTTGTTGTTCTAGTTCTAGTTCTTGTTTTTGATCTTGCGCTTGTGCTTGTTATTGTTCTTGTTGTTGTTGTTGTTCTTGTTGTTGTTGCTGTTGATGTTGTTGTTATCGTTCTTGTTGTTGATCTTGTGCTTGTGATTGTTACTGTTCTTGTTGCTGATCTTGCGCTTGTTATTGTTGCTGTTCTTGTTGTTCTTGTTCTCGTTGTTGATCTTGTGCTTGTAATTGTTGATATTGTTCTTGTTCTTGCTCTTGTTGTTGATCTTGCGCCTGTTATTGTATTTGTTCTTGTAATTGTTTGTGTTCTGGTTTTTCTTGTTATTGTTATTGTTGTTGTTACGGATCGGAGGGGAGCAACGGAGCATCGGAGTGAGAACGATTCGTGGAGGTTCGTCTCGTTGTTCTAGTTGCTTTTCTTGTTGTTGTTCTATCGGAGCGGAGTAACGGAGCATCGGAGCGAGAACGGTTCGTGGAGTAGTACTTGGATGATCTCGGTGTTGTTAACCCTTTAACATGATTAACATAATTAGCTTAAAGTTGCTAATTCCATGCTAAGGAATTAACATAGTTAGCCTGGGAGTTAGCTAACTAGTTAGCTAAAAGTTAGCTAACTATTTATGTTAAAACATGAAAAAATAATATATGTGTTTCTTTATTTGTCGCCAATTTATTTTATTATTTCACTTCCCTGCAAGTACATGCTGGTGAAATATGCATTTACATTTTTTGTGAAAAAGATGGTGGGAAAATTGACATGGCCAGGTGAAACACAAAAAAATGCAGGTAGCTGTACATGTAACCAATCACATCAGCAGCAAAAAACAAATTTTCATGACCATACTATTAACAAGGCTTGTTTACAACAAGCTCACCTTCAACAAAGCTTGTGCAACATTAGCCTGATATAGTGAACACAAGCAAAGCTTTCCAAAAGCTGAATTTCCAAAAAAGCTTTGCAAAACTAGCCTCTTAAGGCTTTTCAATCCAGACTTTTGCCTCCGTAAGGCCATTAAAAGTCTTTGATAGCTGCAGCTTGCTGGCAAAGCCTTTTGAAGGCTTGACTTAAAACCAAAGCTGTTACCAACAAAGCCTTCGATGGCTAGTTAAAAAGCCATTGATGGCTATACAAACCAAGCCTTCTATGACCAAGAACTTTTTTGGGACACCTGAATGCAGCATGTGTGCTTCACAGCAATGAATCTATTTATTCCAATGCCAAGGCATCAAGGTTCTAAATCTCCCTTGGCTCAGCTTGCAATATATTAAAGGGGTCACCACCAACTCAATGCCAAGCAGGTCAGTTTGGCTGGAACCTTGCCATGTGGCAGAGCAAGTAGTCATGGACATCTCCACAAGGGCCAAATATTGAACAAGCACATAAATATTGTTTCCAATTTGTGCCATGGCCCAGAGTTCTGCAGCTTTGGGAGAACTTTTGTCCAAGCTCTCCAGAAGAACAATGTCTCCTTTGGAGCATCTACCAACAGGAAGCTTGGCTTCCACACTTGTGCAAACATCCTCAGGAGAGCATTCCAAAGTTTCAGCAAAAAAGAAGCCAACTTCTTGGGAGCCTTGTGTGGCTTCACCAAATAAGGGGCCTGCTGGAATACATTTTGGCTCTTTAGTTTAGCCATTTCTTCAGAAACAATTTCATTGAACACAGAATTTTCAAAACCTGATGTGTTTTGTATGGCACTTGCATACTTCTTCAAAATTTTGTTTTTTCTCTCAGGGGTGAAGCAGCTGGGAAGTTTCTGCCATCTTTCCAATTGGTCACACATGTGCAGAAGCCAATGGAATTTAGGTATGACATACCAGCCACATTCATGTGCAAGCTGAAGGCTGTGCTCCACAGCCTTTTGCAAAGAATCTCTTGCAGCCATACCCCAGAGCTGCCCCTCATGCAAAATGAAGATCACTTCTGCAACTGCCAAGAAAGCTTGAACTGGACGAGGAGCAAAATTGCTTGGCAATAGCACCTTCCTACACCAAAAGACCAAAATGGGCAGGAGACTGAGGGCTTCACTTGCACCAGGGTTGAACCTTTTGTTTGTCTTGTATTTCTTGATCTTCTTGGCTTGGAAAAGTTCTGGCAAATGTTTCATGCCCAAGTGTGTTGGCCAAAACCAATGTCCCAGATATTCACCAAAAGTTTCCCAAGCTGAAGTGTCCAAGGCATTGAAGTGCTGATAGGAAGCCACTGCAAATGTACCATTTGACAAACAGCAATGCATCCAGTCATGTGCATACTGGGAAGCTGGTGCCAAGAGTGTATTGGATCGAACGTCTGGGTCCAAAGGCAAAATCTTGGGCTGCCAGGTCTTTCCCACAGCTTTCTGCCAATTGTCAAAGTCGACTTTGGTCATTTCCAACCTTTTGGCATCCAGTCTATCAAATGAAGACAAAATGTCATCTGATGTGAATATTCTCAAATCACTGTACTTCAAACAAGTTGTCAAATTCACCTCTTCATCATCCATGGCATCTTCCCCAGTGTCAGTGTGTATATTACACAAAAGGCAAGGCCTCAAAGCTGCATCACCCTTGTAAGACCAGCAGAATTTGCGACTACCTCCATCTTGCAAAATTGTTTTCAAATCAAAATAAATCTTCAAGGAATCACCAGAAGTTCTAGGCAACAAAAGACCCAATCTGGGGTCACATTGCCCATCAAGGAAGATTGATTTCAGAACAGCTGCAAAAAGTTGACTAACTCCTCCTTTGAGCTTGTCCACAACTGTAGATCTAATGTGAGCCAAAGGCATCCAAGCTAGCTCATGAGACAAATCATCCAAAGTGAAATCAAGCATTGTGCCATAGATGCACCAAGACTTTCTGGTCAACCTTCCAGAAAGGACATTTCCAGGAGTGATTTCATCCATGTACATCACCAACCCCCAAGGATGTTCCAGAGTGCTCCTCTTGGTTCTCAGCAGCAAAGATGAATAGGAAGGACTCTCATCAAACAAAGCTGCCATGTAGCTCTTCAAGTTCAAAACAGGCAGTTGAATGGTGGCACCATCAGTGGCCTCCAAATCCATCATACATTTCAATTGCCCATAAGGATATTCAGCAGACAGCAAAGCCTGAGTAGCCCTGCTGAATTGAGGTCTACTGGCAGCTTCTGGAATGCCATGAGTTTTAATATGGCCAATCACACCAGCCAAGGCTGATTGAGAGACATATGGGTGGAAAGCCTTTTGCTGTCCATCTCTGCCAACAAGCCACATCTTTGTCTTTATGCCATTTGACATCTTCCCATGCAGGCAGCACATGGCTAAGCCAAAAATGTTAACTATAACCATAATTAACTCTTATATTAACTCTTATAAGAACCAGCCATTCATGGAAGAAACCCTTTCATGGCTGTGAGCCTATAATGATTATATGAGCCTGTCATGGCTAAGAGCCTGTCGTGACTGTTTGAGCCTGTCATGGCTATACATGAGCCTATGAGCATGTCATGACTTTTTTGTGGGTCTGTCCTGGCTATGAGCCTAAGATGGCTATATGAAACTATGCCATGACAAACAAAAGCCTGCCATGGCTCCATGAGACTGTCATGGCTATCTATCTATCTATATATATTAATGTAAGCCTGTTAAGGCTACATGAGCCTGTCATGGTTTGTGTTAGGGGTAGGCAAAGGCTTTGTTGGCCATTGCATTTCTATCAAATCTGACATGCCATTTCTGGCATTCGCATGCACTTGTTTTCTTTGTGGAATGGTTCTGGCGTGGCCGGTGTATCTTTCTACCAACTAAACAAATTTCTGTGAAGCAAGTTGTGAAAAAAGCAATAGCCAACAAAGCCTTTGCCTACCTCCAACACAGCTTGAGAACTCAACACTTCACTTCTTCTTGGGCTTCAACTTGGCCTTCTCCTTCTCCTTCTTTGCCATGTGGTCTTTCCAGGCCTGCTTTCCAGGAATTCTGACACCATTGTAGCAAGGGTCCTGACACTGTTTGCAGCCATTGGGTGCACCACGACACTGTCCACAACCCAGGATCATGCCAGCAGCACCAGGGGCCTTCTTGGACCTTTTTGCTGTTGTTGGGTTTCTCCTTCATGTTGGTCTTTTTAGGTGCCTGCTGATCCTTCTGCTTGGCTTCCTTCTTTGGGCATGGTCTCTTTTTGGCTGTCAATCTTCTGAAGTTCTCTTCTTCCAACTCTTCAATGCTTTTAGCATCTGCAGGCTGAACTGCTGCTTTGTCCTTTGCCTGCTTGGCTGGGTCCACACTGGGTGCTGTAGCTTCTTCAGGCACAGTTTGGGCAGCAGGGGCTTCAGCAGTCTTGGGCCTCAATGCATGAATGTAAAGGATAAAAACCTTTCTGTTAAAAACTCATTTGTTTTGAAGCTTTCCTTCTCTACCAAAAAAACATATAAAGATATAGCAAGGAACTCTACTGGGGCAGAAGCAGGCAGGGCTAGCTGAGCAGTGACAGGCAAGGCTGCCTGCTCCAACCTTTTGGAGAAAGAAGGTGGTCTGAACAGCACTGCTCTTTCCCTCTGCACTTTAAAGTTGTCAGAGTCAGTGCTCTTTGGGTGCTCATCAACATCGTTCAAAGCCATTAATTTCTGGGCTTCATGCAAGTGGTAGGCTGCCTGCTCTTCTTTGCTGCACCCACTGGGGGCCTTCAGCTTGGAAGACTTGACAGGGTGCCTTCCAGAAGCAGCCCTCTGTTCAGTTTCAGCCTCATCTTTGAGTAGCTTGCTGGTAGACCTCACTGGAATGTGGTTCAGGATCAAATAGTTGAGGTCTTCCAAAACCTTGTCCACAGGGGGATCATCATGGCTATAGGCCAAGTCAATGAAGTCTTGAGAGATCATTTGTGGGCAGGCAGGGTAGTTCAGCAGAGGTCTGACTCCTTTGGGTGCCACCACACTGCTGGCATTGAAAGCTTGGCTGAAGTGTGTACCCAAGTTGTAAATTTCTATGTACTTGGGCATCCTACCTCCTGATCTCTGGAGCTCCATCAGCACCAAGATACCCAAACTAATCTTCTTGACACATTCCTTGAGAGAGGTAATGCCAATCAGTCTCAATCTTTTCACCAGGACATGGACTCCAGGCCAAAGACCTTCAGTCTCCAAAGCTGTCCAGTCCTTGCCTGTCAAGAAGTTCTCCAAGTGATCACATGTCTGAGCTTTGGTAGTCAGTTTCAGAGCTGACTGGCCACTACCATCCATCACGCAGACATTGTCCAAGGTCTGGGTGATCTGGTCTACACAATCCTCAGGCAAGTTGGTCTCAGCAAGGTGGTCAGAGAGACTCAAAAGGGCAGCAGCACCCAACTCAGAGGCAGCTGCTTCAAGCTTGCTACAGAATTGTTTGGCCAAGGCCATTGACATCTGTGTGGTTTTGCCTCTTCTCTCCAGCAAAGTAGCCATGGAAGTCAGTTCACCCTTCAAGTCATCAATGTTCCATCTTACAGGCATGGCTTCACTCTAAGGAGTTGACAAACAGATCTCAGTGAAACAAAGTGAGGAAGGCCTTGAAGCCAAAAGGCTTCCAGAGACATCCACATACCTTGTGAAATTACGAAAAGCGTATGTTTTACTTGGTATCAAACATGATTTTTGTAGCAAGTGGATAGCCTTAGATGGCTATTGTACTTGCAATGCTTTGTTCATGCATGTCTACTAGGGCTAAAACATTTGATTTGTATTCAAGCCTTTCATGGCCACTTAAGCCTCTTAGAGCTAGAAAAAAGCCTTTGATGGCTATTCAAGCCTTTCATGGCTATTTAAGCATCTTATTGCTAGAGCCTTTGATGGCTATTCAAGCCTTCCATGGCTACTTAAGCATTTCATTTATATTTTTTATATGCCACTGCCTGTGGTCAGATTTCTATGCCACTGCCTGTGGTCAGAAAGGTTTGAACATAATACGACATATTGGACCAATGCCTTTGTACAGCAAGTACTCAAGCTCTTTCTTCCTCATCCTTACAACATAAACAAAGGTCTAAATCACTATTGAATAAAATCACCACACAAAAACCAACGACTCACCAAATAAAATCCAAGGCACCAGAATTGCCAGCCACCTCTATATGTTGCAACTCGATACCATATATTGTTGTACTCAACCCATTCAGTCTTCCTCACTTTCAAATCATGACCCAGAAAAGGAATCCTGAGATGTCATGGCCACAAAAAAAAACTTCTTGTTCCAACAAGTACAAGCAAAACAAACCAAAACTGCAAGCTAGACTCCAACTCTCATATCCAGAGTCCCACAACACACATGTCCAGCCATTGGCAGTGTGGACATCAATGATGTAGTCATTGGCAACAGATGCAAAGGACATAGCTCAGGCACTCATCAAATTGATCTTCAAAATGGCTGCAACATATCAAATCTATATTGATCTTGATATAACATAAATATATTATGTATTTAAAAAAATTAAAAATAAATTTACTATATTTTCAATATACAAAGTTTTTTGTATATTAAAAATATTTTTCAAATTTTGATTTGATTTCAAAGGTTAACATCAAATTTGAAATTTACAAACTTTGACTTCAGAAGTTTATTTTAAAATTTTAAAAAATAAATTTTTTCAGAGGCTGAAATCAAAATTAAACATTTAAATTTTGATTTCAGAGGCTGAAATCAAAATTGAAAATTTAAATATTGATTTCAGAGGCTGAAATCAAAATTAGAATTTTAATTTTTGATTTCAGAGGCTGAAATCAAATTTAAAATTTTAATATTTGATTTCAAATATTGAAATCAAATTGAATATGTCTTAATGTTCTTTTATATGTTGAAATCAAATGTATATTTTGAAAAAATAAATTCATTTTCAACAAAAGATATATAATTAATTTTAATATATAAATATAAACAATATATTTTTTAAAAAACAAATATATTTTATTATATATAATTGTATAGTTTGCTAGAATAAATAAATAAAATATAATGTATGTTTTAGATTTTATTAAGCTTACAAATTGTATCTTTTATATCTAGACAATGTTTAAATAGTTATGTATGATTGTATAACAACTAAGTAAAAACTTAATTTGCAATGTGTTGGCCTTTGATGGCTATGAGTTAGCCTCAAATGGCTATATCTGAGCCTTTGATGGCTATATAACAAGCCTGTGATGGCTGAGCCTATGATGGCTACATATAAAGCCTGTGATGGCTGAGCCTTTGATGGCTTGCAGACTCCCTACAACTTCCACATGTTTTTTTTCATTACCACTTCTGCTCCAGAGGCTCACTGGTGAAACCTTCGGGAAACATAGCCCTGCTCAAAGATGGCTTCAATTCCATTTTCAGCAATCTGCTGTACAAGCAGCTCTACTGGCTGCTGAATTGGCCAAATTGAAGTCAGCCTATCCAACTCATCTTGCAAGACTTTCACTTGACCAGACCGCCACAGAGCCACTAGGAGAACCAGCTTGTTGAAATTCCCAGTGCGTAACTTCTCAGCCTGAAATTATCAGTTGGATTGAACTTAGTTCATAAATATATGTATATATACATATATAAATATATACATACATTTATCAAATGTAAAACTTTGCAATTCATCCAAGTTACAGGTTGGTACCAATGCCAGCCTCCTTCAGAGTCCTTCCAATGAAAGCCATGGACATTGTGAGGTTTCCCCTTGCCACCACCTTTCCATCCAGGCATCATAGGAGTAGCCATCAGTACAGGTGGCACTGCAGTTGCTGAAGAAGGAGGGTTTGCTGGCTCAGGTGGCCTCATTGATCCATCCCTTGTCCATGGCTTTGGCTCCTGACTACTAGAGCATGCAACTTGATAATTGATACATTTTTTGCACTACACAAAAATGCCAAAATCTTATGTAAATCACAAAACAATGCCAATATGAAGAAGGAGGTTCTGCTGGCTCAGATGCCTTCATTGATTCATCTTTTCTCCATGGTGCTGGCTCCTGACTACTAGAGCATGCAACATGATAATTGATACATTGTTTGCACTACACAAAGAAGCTAATGCCAAACTATGATGGAAATCACAAAACAATGCAAATATCTCCAAGACACATTGCTTGCAGAGGCAGGTCCAGAATTCTTGTCAATCATGCTTTCAAAGGTGGCTGCATAATTCTGGTCATCGATCAGCCTGGGATTGCCACAAAAACCGATTGAAAATACAAACATATGTTTATATATATATATGGATCCCTGCATTAAATAAGCCAAGGCACCTGGCTGACAGCAGCTTGCAGCAGAGTTTCTGCGAGCAAATAATCTTTTTTAGTCACCTCCTCCTTGGATTGCATCAGCCTCTTCTTCTTAGGCAGTGGCTCAGGCTCCTGCACATAACCCATGACACTTACAAAGTAGTAGTAGTAGTAGTAGTCGTCGTAGTAGTAATAGTTGTAGTAGTAACAGTAATAATAGCAATAATACTAATAGTATAGAAATCTGTTGCCAATAGTATATAGTAATTACAATAGTATATAGCAATAATCTTTGTGGTAGTAGAAATGCTTAGCAACAAATAGTACTGCTATAGCAGTGGTTCAATGAACACAAATGCAAAAACTTGCCTTTTATGAGAACCCATCCTGTTTCACAGGTACCGTCACAGACACATTCACCTTCTGCCCCAAGCCAGCCAGAAGAGGAGCTTCAGGTTCTTTTGGGTTGGATGCAACCTCAGGCTTGGTGTCATCAGTATCACCAGGCACAGCTGCTGCTGAAGGAGGTTCTGTGTCATCAGAGTCCTGCAGAATAAAGCCACAACATACCCATCCATCATAATAAGTTATTTCTATATATATATATATACTGTTTTTAGTTATTCATTTGAACAAAAGGTGTACCCACATGGTCAATCCTCATGTGTTTTCTGAACATTCTCCTCCTCTTTCTTAACCTCCTTCCCCTCAGTCTTTCCAGCTTGCAATTCCCTGGCTTCCCTCTTCCTCTTTGCTATTACTGCTGCCACATCCTGCCTGAGCTTCCACTTCTCCTCCTCCTCCTTTGCCCAGGTAATCCAAAATTGGTCATCATTGTCTGCCATGGCCCAAAGCTTTGCCAAGCAGTGCCAGCAAGGAACACAGAGTTCTATACATTTGAGCAATAAGCAAAGACAATGTGTGAAATCACTTGATTTACACACTAGACATGTCTAAAGTCAAACAGAAGCTTTCTAGAGCTATAATGGAAAAGCCTTGGATGGCTATACAAACAAAGCCTTCTATGGCTAGTAGAGAAGCCTTTGATGGCTATACAAACAAAGCCTAGTAGACAAGCCTTTGATGGCTATACAAACAAAGCCTTCTATGGCTAATCGAAAAGCTTTCACATTTTTCCCCACTGGTTTCAACACAAGTCAAGTCAGCTACTCTGAAGATATATTCTTCCTCTTTGTGTAAGCTCTTTTGGCTACACTAGTCAATACTTCCTCACAGTCAGCAGACAAATGCTGAAAGATAACCTCCAACATGTCCCCATCCAGCAGGACGCACAGCTCAGTACTTTTCCATGAAGAAGGAAATAAACAAGTGATTGCAGTGCCATTCACATAAATGTCCAAGTGCTCTGGTGTCTCTTGGGGAAGCTTGGGTTTTGCCACTTTGCTTGCATTGGCTGCCTGCTTCTCACCCCACATCTTCTCAGCAGCCTCATCCTGTCCACCTTTTGTTTCCAACACATGCTTCTTCACTTCTGTCTCCAGCAGCTCTTTCAATTCTTTCAATTTCCCAGAAGAAGACAGGCTGGGATTCTTGCATTTGGAATACATTTCCAAAAGGTCTTCAGAGTTGGCACAGCAGAGTTTCACAATGGTTGGTGAAGAAGGCTGGATCTTCACAAACTTCTTGCCACTTTCAGTGGTCACCAGCAAATTGGCAGGCAGGGATTGTGCTTGGTAACCACCCCTGACCAATGCCACTCTCTCATGGATGGTCACCACCATGGCAAGCAAAGCAAACAGTTCAGCTTAAGCCAGGGGTCAGTCCTTGAAGAAACCATGGCAACAAAGATACCTTGGAAAACTGTCAAGGCTGGGTCCTTCCAACAAGCCTTCTATAGCTTTGCTTTTGAGCTTGTTACAATTAAGCATCCTTTGAAACAAGCCTTCTATAGCTTTGCCTCTGAGCTTTTTATAGCTATAAGTATCCTTACAACCAGCCTTGTCAAGCTTTGCTTTTGATTTGCCTGCAGCTGAGCAAACAAAGAACATTTTTTTCCTTTTCCAAACTTTGCTTTGGAAGAGCTTTGATGGTGTCAACTGCTTTTCTACTTTTTGGCCTTCTTCAAAGGCTCAGAAGCTTCCAGCAGCAATCTTTGGCCTTTGACCAATGCAACTTTGTTTTTGAAGCAGGGAATTGTCAGCTCCTCATACTTCACAACACTTTTCTGCAAAGTGCTTTCATCATCTTCACCAGCTTCCTTGACCCAAAAAAAAGGGGAGTAAAGTGGCCTGAATTCTTTTT